AATACAACACTCGAAATATAGAATTAAACTCGGACACGTTTATTTACACTATCTTTAGGTTTAACTATCTTAACACTTTAGTATCTTAAGAACGGTAGCTACACGAACAGAAAAGGTAGGATAAACTTTAAGTAAGATGCGAAGACAGAGTATGCGTGTGTTAACAGACTGGCTGACTGCGCGAGAGTGAACAAAAACGTAATTAAGTATTTGACGCTGAAGTGCAGCGTCACTGCGTCTCGTGTTCAGACGGTCTTCTTGCTGTTGCGCATGCGTAATAATTAAGTTACGAGCGCCGACGATACATCTAACAGAAAAAATTGGAAATCTTTTTATATTCCCATCTACATACGTTGGAAGTCCAAGATATATGCAGAAACATTATCAAGATGCAATGTCTTTTATGAGGAAATGTGGTAGACCAGATTTATTTATAACAGTAACATGCAATCCTAAATAGAAATAATTAAAGTTAATTTTATCGAAATTTCCTAAAAATACAAATGATATTCCAGACATAAGTGTTGGACTATTTTACTTAAAGTTAATGTCAGTTTTGGATGACATCATTAAAAACGATATATTCGGTAAAGTATTAGCATACGTCTATACCATCGAATTTCAAAAATGTGGTGTACCTCATGCACATATTTTAATAACTTTGCATCTTGATAAAAAAATTGTTACTCCTGAATAAATTGATGCAATTATTTCAGCTGAAATTCCTTTTGGTAATACGAAGCTCATAAAATTAGTGATTAAATACATGCTTCATGGACTTCATACAGAACGAAGTCCTTGTATGATTGATAAAAAATGCACAGAAAATTTCCCCAAATCTTTTCCAAACATAACTTTATTTCAAACGAATGGTTACCCTGAATATAGAAAAAGAAGAAATAATACTTCTAAACAACATGTTTATAAAATTTGAAGAAAAGATGAAATTTTAGTAGATAATTCAATAGTCGTACCGCATAATAAATTTTTTTAATGAAATATACATGTCATATTAACGTTGAATTCTGTGCATCTATTTAAAGCAGAAAATATATTTATGACTATATACATAAAGGTTGTGACAGAGCATACATCAAAATTCAAAAATTAAAAGACCAAGATAAAGAAATCTTTTATGAAATTAATAGTTACATTGTGCTAGATATGTAGGTCCAATGGAAGCAGCTTGGAGATTACAAGAATTTCCAATTTGCAGTAGAAGTCATGCAGTTGTAAATTTAGCTGTTTACCTTGAAAACAAACAAAAACTGGTATTTAAAGAGAATAATATTAAATCTGTTATAGAAAACTACGAGTCACAGTTAACAGCTTGGTCCAAATAAAATAAACGTGGTGACTTTGCAAAATCCATAAAGTATGTGAACATTCCAAAATACTACATTTTTAATAATAAATTGAAAATATGGCGAAGACCAAAAGTGTAATAAAAAATATTGCAATAGGTATATTAAACATTGTATCTTAAAAAGATCATAAAAGATTATTTTTAAACTTGTATTAAACAAAGTAACTGGTTCAACATCATTTAAAGATATTAGAACATATAAAGGAATAACTTATGAAACTGTTAAAGATAATGCAAGTGCAATAGGTTTAATAGATAATGATAAAAAATCAATAATATTTCCAAAGAAGCAATTGCTGTTATGTTTTCACATCAATTAAGACAATTTTTTTCTTGGTTTTTAATTTCAGAAAACGTTCAAAGTGATAAGATATAGAATAAATACAAAGAACTTTTTGCGTAGGATTTGCCTGATAATAAAGATAATNATATGCAGGAACATTATCAAGATGCAATGTCTATAATGAGGAAACGTGGTAGACCAGATTTATTTATAACAGTAATATACAACCCTAAATGAAAAGAATTAGAGTTAATTTTATCAAAATTTTCTAAAAATACAACATCAAATGATGTTCCAATTTTAACTGTTAGATTATTTCACTTGAAATTAATGTCAGTTTTGGATGACATCATTGAAAACGATATATTCGGTAAAGTAATATCATACATCTATACCATCGAATTTTAAAAATGTGGCCACCTCATGCACATATTTTAATAACTTTGCGTCCTGATAAAAAAATTGTTACACCTGAACAAATTAATCAATAATTGCAAATATTTAAGCTGAAATTCCCTATAGTAATATGAAGCTCACAAAATTAGTGATAAAACACATGCTTCATGGTCCTCATACAGAACAAAAACTTTGTATGATTGATGAAAAATGTACAAAAAATTTCCCCAAAACGTTGACAAACGAAACTTTATTTCAAACAAATGGTTGCCCTAAGTAAAGAAAAAGAAATAATACTTCCAAACAACATTTTCATAAAATTTGGAGGAAAGATGAAATTTTAATAGATAATTCCATGGTAGTACCGTATAATAAATTGTTGTTAACGAAATATAAATGTCATATTAATGTTGAATTCTATGCATCTATTCAAAGCATGGAATATATTTATGACCATATACGTAAAGTTAGTGACAGAGCATACATCGAAATTCAAAAATTAAAAGACCATTACGTTGATGCTACATATGTATGTCTAATGGAAGCAGCTTAGAGATTACAAGAATTCCCAATGTGCGGTAGAAGTCGTACAGTTGTAAATTTAGCTTTTCACCTTAAAAACAAACAAAAACTGGTATTTGAAGAAAATAATATTGAAACTATTATGGAAAACTATGAGACACAGTTAACAGCCTGGTTCAAATTAAATAAACAGGATGACTTTGCAAAATCAGTAAAGTATGTGAACATGCCAGAATACTACATTTTCAATAAAAAATTAAAAATTTGGTGAAATAAAGAACTTCTTTCTAAAAATATTGCAATAGGTAGATTAAACATTATATCTCCAAAAGATCATGAAAGATTTTTTTTTAAACTTGTATTAAATAAATTAACTGGTTCGACATCGCTCAAAGATATTAGAACATATAAGGGAATAACTTATGAAACTTTTAAAAATACAGCGATTGCAATGGGTTTAATAGACAATGATAAAAAAATCGATGATATTTTTAAAGAAGCAATTGCTGTTATGTTTCCACATCAATTAATAGGTATATATATATGCCTGTATTATGTGGTTATATAGACAAAAAATCTGACCTTACAATTATGTATACTACATACAACTGGCACTGTATAGAATTGGGAAGTTTTACCCTTCTAATTAGCAGCTATTACTGCCAATGTAATTTAATATATGTATTATGTGCTGCAGTTTTATGTACATCTTTTACATGGCTTTGTGTATGTAAATCTAAATTTTTAAGCATTTTATTCTAATATGCTAATATAAATTTTTTTTAACTATTAATTAGTTTTAGTAACTCTTTACTTTCGACTTGAAGGAACATAAAATAATCTCTGTGTCTTAGTGTAGTCCATTTCTTTGAGTATTACTGTACTAATTTTGTCTACTTATATCTACAGTTTTTACATTAAATACCTTTGAGTCTAATTTTTCAAAGTTATGCTATTTTGTATTTTTGCAGTGGTAGAGCTTGAGTTTTGACTTTATTGATTATTTTAATTTTTTTTAAATAGTTTCTTATGATTTTTATTCTTCGTACTCTCACTTTTTGTGTTTCTATATTTGACTTAGTGTTTACAAGTAAAATATAAATTTTGTGAGTTTTTCTTCGGGTTACTGTACTTTTTATGTGTGTTTAAATTTTTTCTCATGAAATTTGACAGTAACTGGCCAACTCTCTTAGTACTATGAATCTTTGTTGCAAGATTCATACCTCAATTACTTCGAGACTTTGTTTTTTGTAATGTTACAGGTCTCTGTCTAATAACACTTTATCTCTGTCTTATTTTTCATACACATCAATATTTCTAATTTCCCACATCATAATTTTGTATGAATTTATATTATCTTTTGTTTAAATAATATTTCCCTGTCATCAGACTTTCAAATTCTACCCCTCATAATTTCTTTTCATGTATTTTTATACTTGTCTTTACTACAAGCACATCTAAACGTGAGATTATTGTTTTAGAAGGTACTTACAGGAATTAAGATCATCGATGGTTATACTTAAGTAGTTGGCAAGGTAGCCAGCCTCCTGGCCACAAAAACTCAAGTGGTCGAGGGTTTGCATCAAGAATTTCTTTTCTCGGTCGTTTTCGTTAGGATGTAAATTCAGGATACAGAAAAGTACTTTAATTTTTAAGACAAATAATGAATTGTCAGGGTGACGTCCGGATATCTAGGAGCTTTTTTTCCAAGGGAGTTTAATACCTGATGGCTTGCTTATTGATAAAGTCACTATCAGTAAACAAGTTGTTATAGTGAGTTAAATGGTAGATGAAACGGAGCAGTTCATAAAACCAGATAAGGACTGGGGTACCCTTGAGACGCTTTCTGCATCCTGCAAACATGGAAAGTGTGCTCTAGGAGCCCGCAAGAAAAGACTCGGAAATTTAAGACAGGAAAAGGGGAATAGGAGAAAAACTGGATCAGATGGTAAAGGCAGGGATTTAAGGACTACTAAAAATCCTGTAATGGGTTAACGTAGTCTCATAAAATACGTAAATAAATTATTGGGGAAGTATAAACAGATGTGGAATCGTCAAAAAAATTGTATCTATGAGTGGTCAATAAATACTAGAATACGAGCCATAATGTATTAAATTTTTTATTACTAAAAACGATAATTTTTTATTCAATGCTTAGCAGATCTATTTCTTTTATAGTCAATGTTTCGATATATATTATACAAATGAAGAATTTGATATGAAACAAAAACAAACGAGGTAATAAAAGGTGACACTATTATCGAGGTACAGTAGTAAAAAGTAAGTATTAATAAAATAAATAAGATTTTGTAAGAAAACCATCGATATATAATTTTTATTCGCGTAGAAGAGTCTAGATGATGTCTTCTTAAGTACATGCGAGGATTGAATTATAATTTTACATAAGATTCAAATAAACGTTCAAATTGTTAATACACTGAAAAACTCGTCAGACTCATGTTTATTAAGCTTTAAATTACATTTACCATTGTACAATGATTCTAAGAAAATAAAAAAAAATTAAAACTTTTAGACTTTAGCAATAACTTTACTCCTTTACATTAAATCTGACGCATCGTAAAAATCACATGTATTCTTAAGCATACAAAAAATACAAAGTACATTAATAATTTTAGAGTAACTATTGATTTAAAAAAATGTTTTCTTTTAAAGCTGCATCAAGCTACTCGCTATTCGAAACGTTTAAAAAGTCAAGATCAATCCATCATACTGTAAAAAATGCTGTGATTGACTTGTGAAAGTTAAATGTAATTTAATCTTATGGTAAAAAAGTCGCTCGTACAGTAGTTAAGTCCAATTCGTTTCTTGTATTACAACGCTACGACAAGGAAGATTTTCGTTTCTCATTATATATATATATATAATATATCTAAATACATATTTTAGTTTTAATGACGATTTACATGTTAGAGTTTACTGAATAACATCACAGATACAATTATATATGTACAATAATGAAAAAGAGGAAATTCAAAGCAAACAAATTTATGTTGCTACAATCATATAAAATCTCAAAAGAAAATCTATTGCCGTTACACCGAAACGACGTTCAGCATCTGTATGGATTTCTAACGGTTTGAATGGCACTGTATGACATAAGAGTATTGTCTTTAAATTTCCTCTTTTCGATTGCCCGAAGAAGGAATCATCGCCTCGTTACAACGCACTGGCTTACAGTTACAGTCGAAAATTAGAGCACCCAAGATTGAAAAGGACTTGATAGAAAATATCTCTGTGAAACCCAGTGAGGGATTTTTGACATCATCACGCCATAACAATGGCCTCCTCCATTTGTCTTCATTTTGTTAACGTGTCCGCCCGTTATTTTTTTGGTCGTACTGCTCTCATCCTACAGATTGTCCTCGGACGAAGAGAGCTTGTCGAAGACGTAGAGTTTTATTCGGGTGTCAGGGCTTTGGGCGATCGAAGGGGACGAGTCCGGTGGTTTGACGGTTTGCGAGGCGCAGGGTGGTTCCACAGCTCGGGGCAGGAAGTTACGGTTCAACTCGGGTATCGAGGCTGCCGGATCCTTCAAGGGTATTGTCACGTCGCGCAGAGAGCCCGTCGGTGACGGAGGGAGCACCACTTTTTCTGGAGCGTTTTGTATAAATATCACCCTGAAATCATATTTAAATGTTTTTGTGGAGATTTTTCGTAAATTCATAACAATTGTACAACACGTGTACTAAACTGTTCATGTGGACACCATGTTACCGTGTATACGTATATGAGTCAGTACAATAAAAAGTAAACTCATGAAATAAATTGTAAGAAATTGAAATTACCAAGTAATGATTTTTTAAAACTAGGGGGCTGCGCCTCTTGCGCGCTCCACGCGCCAACCCCCAAAATTCCATCAAACATTTATTTTCTATATTTTTAAAGAAAAATACAGTAATTATATCTTTGTCGTAAGACGTAATATTGTAATCTTTATCAAGTTACAAATTTGAATGACTTTTCACTGATTTTTCAAAATCTCATTTTCAAATCTACCCGCACTTGATCAGTCTCAGCCAATTACACAACGAATAAACGGGCTTGAACACATGACCCATCGTTTAAAAAAAATAGGATTAACGCTATTAAGTGAATTTTTTTTCCTAAATTCAGACTAAATCACTTTTGATACAAATCATAAATACTTGAATAATTAATGACAGGCCGAACATTTCTTACTAATTTTTACTTTTTTCGAATTTTGTTTTAGTTCCGGATGACTTTCAATCATTACAGTTTGTTGATATCTCTATATTAATGTTAGTTTTAAAAAAATCTAAATTAATTTTTTTAGAGTAAATACATTTTAAAAACGCAAACAAAAATATTACAGGCTAAAGTGTTTATTAATAATAGCATCAGCTACTACAGTGCATATCAATCATTGCCCGTTCTTGTTCATTGATTCTTGTTTTCGTAATTTATACGATATATTTGTAAACAATAGCAAGATAGAATTTTTTGGAACTGCAAAACCGTGCGTAAACGTTCCTCACGATCTCCGTTAGGCGCATATTGGTTTTATATAATATTAACGAAAAAGCAAATAAGAAAGTAAATATTGGATGCAACAGTCATGAAATTTATCATCACAAAATTTTGAAGGGTAACCATAAATCGATGATGATCAAAGAAAGTACCAACTCAAAATTTCCTTCATAAAATATTCGTATTGAAACGTGAGTTAGCGTTTTCCTGAAAGCAATTTCGAGTTTTCACTTTCTTCGAACGTGGCGTCAAAAAAACGTAAAAATTGCCTTACCTATTAAATGCTCTCCATCTTCTGCACAGTATTATGTAAGTCTTACACTGGATATACATAAAGACTAGTCCCCCTGTGGAACCTATCACAACAATGACCAACTTCATCCAAAAACCCCAGTCGACGTATCCCCTCCGGGCTTCTTCGACGGTTCGCTCCACTAACACGTACAAAGACCAGGCCACACACATTGCTGCCAAAGCATGAAATGCCACCGCACACCACAGCTTGCGTACTTCATGGGACGACATTTCCAACTTCTCCCACTGCAATGTAGAGTTTTTACTTTGGCAAAAAACCAATAATTGGTGAAACAAAATCCTCGAATTAATTGTTATCGTAAATTCGAGTCATCAAAGTGCGCGTTGTGTTGACAACGTGAAGCGATAGTATACTGTTTCTGATGAACAATGTAGTACTGTTTCACGTTCAAGGAGAAATTGAAGAAAAATCATTAAAGTCGTAAAAACATGCAAAAGTGAATGCTCACAAAAAATTACAAGCACCGAATACGTTACGTACATACATATTTCATGCGGAGCCTAACGTGACTAAAAATTGTAGTTTCGCGTTGTAATTTATTTAAAAAAAAAAAAAAATTTCCACTTACTTCGGAAAATGGCTTTGTCTTGGCGTGCATTATGAAAGTGAATTTACATAATTCGCAGGCACGCGTGTCGGATGCCTTTATCCATTGTTGAAGACAAGTCTGGTGGACGTAGCGCAGACTGCCGCTGCAGTAGCAGGGAGCCAGCAGAGGAGCACCTGCTTCGCCCTCGCAATGACAGATCCTAAAGACACAAATTCTTTTGTCACATCACAAACGCTCCAATATTTGGCTGGTACTTCAATTTTCAATTTGTTGCTAGTGCTCCTGCATTATCGATGGTTGTTGCGCTAACGAGCGACATTTCTGTACGTGTGTGTAAATAGTAATTAAAGAAATTATAATTACACATGCGACTGAATTGTCTTAAGTGCTTTACATAAGATATCGATAAAACTTTTCTTTTTGTTTTTTTTTTTCTACTTTGATGACCATTTATACCGATAGTGTTGTTATGCAGTATTTATTAAATGCGTAAAATTAATTTGTATGATCACATCGAGATTTGATACTATTGTAATTTAGAAGTCAGAAATATCATACAATAAATAAAATATGTAGATGAATGTTACTTTTCAACTGAAATTTAATTGTGCATCATATCTAAGAAATTAACATAGTTTTTCCTCCATTCTACAAAGTTGCTTGGCTTATTTGAGATTGCAGGCAAACTGTATCTACTATCATAAAAAAGTTAGAAAAATTTTTTTTCATTAGGGGGCTGCGCCCCCTGCGCGCTCAGCGCGCCAACCCCCGAAATTTAATCACATTTATTTTCTCGGCCAATCACACAACGAATAAACAGGCTTCATCACGTGACCCATCATTTTTTTAAGATAGAATTCCAAGAAGTTTTTGACAATTAAGTGTTTACTGTAGATTCACCAATTTTCGTTTTAATGTTTATGGTATTAAACATTTTTATATAATAATTGAGTCAGATAATTATATGACTATCACAATTTTCACTTCCTTTAATATAATAAGAAATTCTTTGAAATCATTGTAGTGGGATAACTAAAGCAGAAGGTTATACATTTGTCTCAAAGAATAAACAAAATTTAAAACTCAAGCTCTCAAGCCTTTATATTACTTATTAGGCTTTCAAATTTATTTATCAAAGCTAAAAATTTGTATCTTACGTTTATAGTACTATAATTTTGAACATACAGTATCGTACCTTTGTAAAGTTTATACATCTATTTTTCAACCATTACAAAACAATATTTTGTAATTTTTTATTGCGCATTAGCAAATTTTTTTTAGTAAAAAATTTAAAATTAGTATTTTTTTTACTTATTTCGAAAAGAATAAAAAATATCGAATGTTGCTCATTAAAAAGCAGAAAAGCACAGATCCAGAAATTTTTGTGCCAACTAATTGGCAACGGTTTTTTAAAATTCCAAAACTTTTTATCATTAATAAAATCACACTTTAATATTCAGTAAGAAATAATTATAAAGACAAGTTTTAAAAAAATAGAAGAGTAGTTAAAAAATGCTATTGCTACTAAATAGAAAATCAGTGGTTAAACATTAACTTTTACCGTTGCATAACCTGTAGATTATCAAAATAACTTTTGGTACATTACGGGCACAAATATAAACATGAGCGCCCGAAGAGCGCGATTATTGTATGTTGAGGCCCGAGTCGCGTATAATGTTTTTCTTACCGAGGGCGCAAAGTGCAATTTTGCGCCCGTGGGCACAGTTTGCGCACAGTAAATCACTATGAGCCCGGAGGGTGCAAAAAACTTTTCTGCCCGTGGGTCCAAAGTGATTACAAGGGTACAAAATGTTACCTGAGGGTGCAAAGCGGCAGTTGCACTTTAAGAAAATCATATTACACTTGGTATATAAGCTTTGTCGGCTTTGTTCGGCTCTACAATGATAAAAATCGGTTTTTATACTTCTTCATTACAAGGACTGTAAGTGCAAAGAAATAAATTCCAAAAAGCAAGAAGTATATATACCAACTTGATATTTCTTCATGATTATTTTAAATTATAAATAAAGTATTCCTATAAAACTAGTCTACAGTCAAACATTAAAGTATTTTGTATACTATGTTTTTGCTTCTGCAATCCCAATCATAACGCAAATTCTGGCTATGTTTTTAAACTTGAATTACGAAATGACATTTTATTGAATATAAGCATATAATTTTTATGGCAACTTTTAATTGGCGATCAATTTTTTTTTTGGTTAGGTTAATAATTACTTATAAAACAAAATTACACAATTAATTTAAACAGTTTATGGTAGGCTTACAAATAGGTTAATTAAATTTTTACTTTTACTTGTGTATTTCTAGCTAAAGTTTAATTACACATTACAATTTGTTGGTATGAGTCACTCACCGGCAAATGTCATGGTTTCCAGATGACAGTGTACTCACTGAAGAATGACAGTGATCTGGAATTACTGTTACAACAGGTGCGTAACTATGTTCCTGTAAAAAATTAAAGATTACCTTTTTTATTTAAGTACTGTAATTTTAATACTGCATTAAAAATTAATTATTTCTTCGTTGATAACTAAAATATAATTTCACCCTAGAATAGTTTATAATTACAGTAGTCACAGCTCAAAATGTGGTATGATACAAAATTTATACTCAAAAACATTACGCTTTCATGTAAGGCACGACTAATCTAGGGATTATCAAAGTAAAAAGTGTAATTTCAATCATAGGATTTTTATTTAGGATAATTCTTATACTATAATATCATATCCTGTATTAGGACGACAATATAGAGGGAAATGCAAAAAAATAAATAAATAAGTATATTTCAATAAGATGCACAAGTTTTTTATAAAAAATTTTGTCCGCACATGACATGTAAAAAAGTTTTATCTTTATAAGATCTACAATTTTTGTACTGAACGTTTTGGCCAACAATGTTTATATTTGAAAATGTTATACTATAAATCGAATTTTTGACCTTTGTAAAACAATTTTTACTATTTCTTTGTTTACAACTTTGTCTGAGGATGTAAGCATGTAAATTGTAAGCAAAACTGATTTTTTCCTCTTAGATCGTTGTAGTAAATATGCTGATAAAATTTTTCTTTCAGATGAAAGCTGTTCAAATGTGAACCATCAGCTTTGAGATTAAACCTTAAGCTACCTACAAAAGTTGAGCTCATTCAGATAGTAATTACTAGTCCACATTCACATTAAGGAATTAAATTTTAACAGGTTATTCTTGTATGTGTTCAAGAAGATGGAAATGTTATTAATTTTTTTAAACCATCAAAATCTAAATATTTAGGTCTCTTTGTAGATAACAAGAGAACAGAAACATGGCTATACATTGGGTAACTAATTTTTCAAGGTCGTTTAAAAAAGTGAATAATTTTTTGGTTCTATATTTAAGCATATGAAGGAATCCACAAAAAATATCCCGTTTTTTTCCCCCATTTTAATAAAAAAAATTTTTTTTGAGGCACATCCTTAAAACCACGCTCATTTTAATCGTAGTGTCATGTACTGTCAGGAAAAAATTTTGAACACGGATTTGTTGAGGGTGACACCCTTTTTCCGCGATTTACATGTTAAAATTATATCTATAGCTATCACATATATAGATATAATTTTAACACGTAAATCGCGAAAAAACGGTGTCACCCTCACTAAACCTCGTGTTCAAAATTTTTTTCTCATAGTACATGTAATTACGAGTAAAATGAGCTCTATCTCGAAGGTGTGCCTCAAAAAAATTTTTATTCATTTAAATGGGGGACAAAAACGGGACATTTTTTGTGAATTTCCTCATATATTATTTTTCATGGCAAAAAACGTGTTTTTTGGGGCATTTTATAATATTTTTAGAGGTTTTATTTTATGATAAACTATTGTAAGTGCCTTGATGTAATTACAAATTTTTTTATTTGACACTAGAAGTTTCATAAAAATGTAACTGCGTTTTAACTAATTCTAACAGTCTGATCGAAACCAATAAGAACCAATAAAAAAATTAGACTCTGTATTAATCATTAAAAAAAAAAAAAAAATTACTTTACACATTTTTTATTTTCCTTAATTAACTTTTACATTCTAAAATTGTGACCAATTCTATTTAATAATTTAACATTATATTTAATAACCTAACACACGTACACTTTTTCGTGACCGAATAGAACACAATAAAAATTTATTGTTAGTTTTTTAAAATTTGGGTTACTTTATGAATACCAATATATGATACGACATAAATTTGCCCTTTCAATTTTTCCCTACCATAAATTTTGTATTCAGATCACCAAACACATAGTAATAAAATGTTTTTAAAATATTCTCACAGTTGACATTTGAGCCCACGTCATATCAGTCATACAAATAATAGCCAGAAGTATTTGAAGCGTAAGTTATTACTTTACTGATTGATTTTATAAAAATTTTTATTGAAATATACTATCGAACACAATGAAAAAATGTAGATATAATATCATAGGTTTCTATGAGTTTTGTATTCAGTTTACCTAACCTTAACACATACTCAATGTTGCTTAAAATTAAGTTGGAAATATCACATGAAGTTCTATAGACACGTTGTACTATTGTTTAATTAAGACATTTTACTTAATTACTAAACACTTTTTTATAGGTAGTGATACATTAAAGCATACATTAATATTATGTGAATTTCGCATTCTCTATGGGCCTATTTCAGGTGACACCACTGAGTGAGAGAAATCGTCCCTCGCTGAGATCGCTAGATTGTCTCACTGTCTTAGTACACATGACAACACCAAACAAAATTTATTACTGTATACCAACATAATATTCACTTAAATCACTGATTTAGTTGGTAAATTTACTCTCAATAATTTTAAAAAAAATTAATTTAAAATTTTTTCTATAAGGGTTCATGCATTTTGACGATTCCTGCGAGGAACAATTTCTCTCATTCAGCGGTGCCATCTGAAATAGTTGCCTAGTGAATAGAACTCAATATAATTTTTATTAGGCCACTTTTACAACCAATAGAAAATGACCAAAAAGTTATGTTGGTTTCTATGAGTACTGATCATTAGAACCAAAATATTACTCACTTAAATATAACTTCCTAAGAATAAAAAGAATTAGAAATGAGTAAAAATATACTCATGTACAACTAAACGATTTAAATTAGTATCAATATCCGTAATGAAATAAATATAGCCAAGTGATATAAATAATAAAATAAAGTAAAATCAAAATCAATTTTAGTATAGTTCATAATTGGTTGTAAAAAAAAATTAAAGTAAACTTTATACAAATAAGTTGGTAAAAATGTTTTATCTTTAACTTAGCAGTACTCTACGGATCTTTGAAGTAATAATACTTGCAAGAACTTTATACATCTGTACTTAAACATAAAAAGAATGCAACACTGCCAGTCACTGACGTTTATTAGAACTTCTAAGAAAAACAACGGGAGGTTGATGTCGTAGCCAATACTGAGGTGTGTTTTGACCTTTAAATGCGATACATTCATGTAACCTTTGAAAATTTAGCACTTTAAATTATTTTAACACCATAAAATAAATTTAAGAAATGCTCGATACTTAAGATGTTATTTTATCGGCCCACACAGCCCATTAATATTTATATTTATGCATGATGTTCCAAGTGGAGTTATTTTTGGGCGACTTGGCTAAGGTCAATATGGATCATTCGTCAGATTTATTTTGAGTTTGCTATTTACTTTTGCCATTTAATTGATACAAAAGTTAACTTTAACTTGAAAAGAAATTTAAAAAAAACCTCGAATAGAAATTAAAATTAGGTCAAGTTTGTAAAAAAATTATTAGTAAAAAAAAATCTCTTATTCAGAATGTAGGTAAGTGTTATTCTTCATGAAATGATAAATTATTATAAAGTATTTCAACAAAAAATCTACTAGCCATCTCTTTTTGAATAATTTTATCATACATAGATTTTTGAGTTCTAGTTTTTATGAAAATATTTTAGCATATAGAAAAGTACTTTGCAATCTTCTATGTATTTTTTAATCTCGTACTTGGCTTCGAAGACAATTTTCATACAGATACCATCAAAATACTTTTCTAATGAGTAAAATGGATAAACGAATTTATCGATGTGGGGCAGCCCAATTCCGAAATTTCCGTAAAAAAACCCATCTGTAAATCAGCGTGTGCGTAAGCATATTAATGTCATCAGTTTTATCTCAAAATACAATAAATTAAAAACAGGCAAATCAGGTCTCCTTTAGACGTACAAAGGACGACAAAGGATACAGAGAAACAATTTTTACGATCGTTATTTCTTTTTTAATACTGACATTCCTTGATTTCAATACTCAGTTTTCTGCGTTTTTACATTTCAAAAACTCACGTACAATACATTCAGAAAGAAACCAAAAAACTCTTTTTTTTTAATAGACATCATTGTACTTTCAATATGAAACTGTATTTAAACATTTGCTTTCGATAAAAATATCATGTACCTTAATAAAATGCCCAACAGATGCAGTGAAACTTTTATGTCTAACAGTGATTCGAGTTTTCCTGCACGTGTAGTTTCAGCCAAGAGGTCTTTATAGTGTATTATTCTGTTATAGTAGAAATTTCCTCAAGATATTTTTCATCTTTTTTAAGTGAACTTTGGGAACAAAAAGAATCTGTTTATGAATAACTTAATAACAAGTTTTCGAATTGTGTTTTCATCTACGAAAACATGGCCGTTTTCATATAATCAGTTGAAGGCAAAACGATAAAAAATTATAACTTTTTAAAATAAAAAAATTTAGATCCCTGTTTTTGTCAACAAATTCATTCAGAAAAAATAACAGAAGAAACATATTTATGTACAATTAAAAAAAAAAAAAAAAATAGCAAAATAGAAATTGTTGATTCAAAATTGATCAACAAGATCCTTACATGGTTTATAGAATAAAAAAAAATTAAATGATGCTTATTACAAAATTTTTGAGTTACTATACAATGAAAATGATGAAATAAAAAATTCTAAACGTTACAGCCATAAAATAAAAGAGTAGGCAATCTACTTGACAGTAAATTTTTTATCGTATTCTGTATTATTTTTATTATATTACTACATAAGTATATAAGTAAGGGCATTGTATTGTTTATACATAGAAATTAATACTTTCGGGCTGAAAATTTCTGGAAGAAAACGCGAATGAATATGTATTGATGAAGTCAGGTTTTAAGTACCTATTGAATGTCTAATAGTGTGTGGAACTCATTTTTCCTCACTTGACATTCTTAGTTAATGCTTTAAACGTTTTTAATGAATAAAATTGATCTAATTGTTACATACATTTAATTTCAGCCAAATCGTATTCAAACATAATAAAATGCGTGAAACTAAGTATACGTGCATTTTACACCCAGAAAATAAAAAGAGGTATATTTATATTCTTCGGCATAATTCCTCAGTGTATCAATTGTTGACGTGATGTTTCATAAAAAATCGTTTCGCTTTAGTTGACTATAAAAAAGTTACAGGAAGCAAATAGTAATAAAAATCGTGAATAAAATGAAGTAAGTTATAGGTAAATGATTTAGCGGTAAAAATGTAATAATGATAATAATATAAAATATAAATAGTATGAATAATAGTAATAACAACAACAACAACAACAACAATAATAAAAATAAAAATAATAATAATAATAATATTAATAGTAATAGTAATAATAATAGGGATGAAATAAAATGAGACCAAAAAAAAAACCTATACAATAAGAGAGCCAGAAGGTCTGAGAGACGTATTTTTAGAGATAATTTTTTCAGAGAGTCAATGTCTCGAGTATACCGGCGATAAGCACGTCGAATTCTTTGATCAGAAGAGCGGACAAAAAACAAAGGAACAAAAACAAGTCGGTACACATTCGACAAAAAACGACGGCACTACGTATAGATACTTGAAATTTGCGGACAAGGTGAGTTGGTCTATATGTAAGTAGGTACACCCTATAGGCCTGCATTCTTTTTTTTTTTTTTTTTTTTTTTCTTCATTCAAAAAAACAAGTAAGTATACACTTACCCGAGGTGTCCACTCTGGTGGTGGCGACGGCTGGTGCTGGCGCTGTAACTGTAACTGGGGCTCCCCGGCATTCGAATTGTTGCTGACGGCTGGGCCGAGCGACTGAGATAGTTGCCAATCGGGTGGACGCACATTGATCTGCTGGACCGGCATCACTCTCGGATCGCCAGCAAACATTGGGACGAATTTTCTTTCACGCTTGTGTTACAGTTACAACCGCTGTTTTTAATAGTATTTCACAAGAGTACAGGTATAATATAATGACAGCCAAGCGTATCGCAGGACTGTCGGGTGATTGGTGAGATTAATTATAGTTGGCAGCAGTGATCGAGCGACAAAAGGAGGCGAAGGACGAGATTCGACCAAGCACTTCCCGTGGCAGTCTCATGTTTTACACTTTCTTATTTTCTTTGTCTTCGAAGCAGGAGCACGCTCAGGTTCTGTGTACCTACTCTTCTGTAAGACAATTTAAGTTACCCTGTATGGTAAAAAGGACGCGAGTGCAGTGCGAGACAACCGGCCTCGATGCACCTTCAACAGCGGATGTGCAGCATTGTAACACACTCGCGGTGGCAGTAATAATAGCAATGATAGCGGGTTCGCTGCCGCATTGGTTGTCCGCGGATATATACTATACGCACAAGGTGTATTATATACGTATACGAGTATACGGCCTATCATGTGTAGCCTCTTCTTTTGTGCGCGCACAAAGAAAAAAACGCGCGGCCTTCAACTCGGAGCGCCCGGTCGCGGCGAGAGCTGCATGTCAACCGCGCGAAGAGCAGCGCGGAGCAACATAAAGAGAGAAACAAGGACAGAAGGACCGCGTTGTGTCTATAGGTATACTATACCCGTGTAAATACCTATACAACACAACTAACGCACATCAGCAGCTGTGCCTATGGTATATATAGGTACAATAATACACGGCTCCGGAGTTTTATTTCGAAGCAGTAGGCAGCCTGCAGTACAAAGGCAGGTAAGTATAACTATGTAGCCGTCCTCGCTGTCGCCGCCACTGCAAGCTGATTCGATGGTATACTTATCTCGGCGAAATTGAAATTCTAGATGACAACTTGGTCACAGTGCGGCGTCATAAGCATCTTAATTGATTAGCAGGCCTGTAGGTCGATTGACTTGGCTCTCTCTCTCTCTCTCCTCTTTTTCTCTGTCAGAGTCAACTACTCACTCGTGTGCTCCGTCCGAACCCCAGAGGATGCTGTCTGTGGGGCTGTACTCTGCTAGCGTTACGCTGGCCTTGGCTCAGCTGATGCTGCCGATAGCTGGGCCTGTGGACAAGGTTGCCACAGCCTTGGCCGAGCACAAGAGCCAGCTTCCCCCGTGCACATGACACCATCAGCACGACAACCCAGCGCTCTTTATTCTCCCTTTCATCAGTTTCCTCCACTTTGTTTTTTTTTTTTTTTTTTTTTTCCTCTTATTTTCGAGACCACACATTTCCGAGTGTTTGAGCAGAGAAGATTTGCACGCAAAATAATTGCCTCTTCTTCTTTTAGAAGCACAAACTTCTTGAGGTTCTTATTTATTTGTTTTTTTTTTTTTTTTTTTCGCTCACTTCTCACAAGTAAGTATATTTAGGTGCACTGCGTTTAAAAAAGGAGGTTGATTATTTTCATTCATTCGCTCTCATGGCTGTTTTTTATTTTTTTTATTTTTATTTTTTATGCAAGGACACCGTGCGGCCCGACAAAGCTTCGATGCTACACTAGGTAGGCACTACTTACTGATGCGGGGAAGTTGCGCGTGCTCAGTTGGCCCCGAGCCGGCAGCAGGTCATCCTCCTCTTCTTCTAGAGCTTCAGTTTGACAAGCTGCACGCAGCGGTGTATACATATACGTACGTGTAACACACTTTTCCGAGGCATCGGACGGACGGATATAAGTATTATATACGCCGAACTGCATGCAAATGCGGCTTCGACCGTCCTCGTTCGATTCGCGAAACGGTGGTGGCGCGAATCATGTACATTTTTCAAGTATATATACGCACATACAGTCGTATAAAGAGGGTAGATACAATGCTGTGGGTGATAATGAACGCTTGGCGCCGACGCTCTCGACACCACTGCTCGCTCTGTGCAGCTGTGCTACACGGTGTAGTCTGTGCTCCGAAAAAAAAAAAAAAAAAAAAAAAAAAAAAAAAAAAAAAAAAAAAAAAAAAA